CTGGGCACCATTCTCCCCGCTTTCCCCCACTAAAAAAAGCAAAACCCAAAGATCAGAGGGTTTAGCATTGGCCTCATAGCATTGGGAGGTTATTTCTTGTTAAAAAAAAAAGAACTCAACTGAGTACATTTGAAGACCTATTTGGCTTTATTCAAGGATTCATGGGAATTCCCTGGTGGTCCAGTGATTAGGACTCTGTGCTTCCTCTGCAGGGGCCATGGGTTCCATCCCTGGTTGGTTTACTAAGATCCCTCAAGCCACACAGGACAGCCAAAAAAAAAAAAAAAAAATCAAGGATTCATGAATTGGGCAACATCCCACCTAGCAAGTAGAAATGAGCTTTAGGAGCTGTACAAAATGGAAGGTTTTCAAAGGTAGAAAGGGAGTGGGACAAGGAAGTCATAAAAAAGAAAAAAGGCAAAGTCACCTTCCTTTGGGGGAAGGGCAGGGATCTATCATGCAGTTTACCTCACAGGTGCTGATGCGGTAATTCCAGATTGATGGCTTAAAGTTCACACTCCTAGGAGTAGCTGAAATTGAAATTAAACCTTGGTTTGCTGTTCTGGGGGCAACTGACTCGATTTGGGGCCTGTTGTTTCTTTTTAAAAACACTCTTGGGACTTCCCTGGATAAGACTCCTTACTCCCAATGCAGGGGGCCTGGGTTCGATCCTTGGTAGGGGAACTAGATCTTGCATGCATGCTGCAACTAAGAAGCCTGCATGCCTCAACTAAGACCCGGCGCAGCCAAAGTAAATAAATAAATAAAATAAATCTTAAAATAAATAAATCTTAAAATAAACAAATCTTAAAATAAATAAATAAATAAATTTAAAAAACACTCTCAAAGCCCGTTTTCTCAGCTGCAAGATGATGATGATAATAGTGCCTATTCCATAGGGTTGTTGTCAGGGGTAAATAAGAAGATGCATATAAACTTTATAAGATTATCTATGTAAAGTGCTGAGCACATAACAATCCTTTAACAAATGTTAGCTGCTCTTTCTATTGTTAGTACTAATAATCTGTAGACTACACTTGTGAGGCTCAGCCAGTTCCAGCACCAAAACCACTTCATAATGAGATTAGGACCTCAGCTTCTCACCCCTGTAATCTGAAGCGCAGGCGCACCCCGAAATGCAGGCATCGCCGTCAGTTTCCAAGTAGCCTGGCATTTGGGGGGTTCTCTTTTCCTCTGAGTAGGTGCCCCAGTGTGGGGTAATGATGAGACAGAACTCTTCTGTGGTTGTGAGAGAGGAGGGAGGGGGCAGGGCACAACATTTAAGGGGACTTTCCTAGCGGTCCAGCGGTTGGGACTCCGCACTTCCAGTGCACATGCCGCGGGGCACGGTAAAAAGAAATGAATAAATAAGTAAGTAAAATAAAATAGCTTATTCCCAAGCTCTCTTAAAATAAACAAAATAAAATAAAAGAATAACATAGCTGTTGAGAATACGACAAAAACTGGTTAGAACCAATTCGGTCCAAGATAGCGGAAGATTCGAGCTGAACCTCATCATACGCTCATCGTAATACATCATCAGCACGTTAAATGACATACTGACAGGCACCCTGACAGTTCTGAGGCTTCCGATAAAAGGCCAAAGAGTGGGCCGTGGCCCAATTCCTGGAAATCCCCGCCCCTTCCCCCAAATAGTTGAAATAATCCTCCCACTCCTCAGCCTGTGAAATTACCCAGCACGTAAAAACTAACCACCCCATATTTCGGGGCCTCTTGTCTTCTGAGATGGCCCACACTCTGTATGTAGCATGCGTTTCTCCCAGGGCTGCTCTTGCCTTTTGAGACAGACTGCATTCTGTCTATGGAATGTGTATCTCTCTAAAAAATCCACTTCTTACCTACCACTTTGCCTCTCCCTGAATTCCTCCTGGGCTGAGACATAAAGAACCTGAGGTTCATTAAGTCCACGTGACCATTAGACCACGTGTGCAATCTTAATTAAACGACAGGATTCAAGTCCCAATCTGGGTTTTGGCTGGGTTTGAGTCCCATCTGCGTTGTGCGGTTTCAGTTGCAGAGGGTGGATGGAACAGGGGAGGACCCCGGAACGGCCATGGAGTGCTCCAGATTCCCAATGTTACCGTTGCAAATACTTGTTTCCTAAATATGAAGTTGGGCAAAAATCCTCAACTATTGCAGAAGAAAGAGCCAATGCAAAGGGCTGAAGAGCCAGGAGCGTCATAGATAATACAAATGGATATTAAGACGTTCTCACACACACACACATAAAGATCAATATGTGAGGTGATGGATGTGAGGAGTATTCTAGCTGGGGGAATACTTTCACAACGTCTACAAATATCAAATTGTCACGACGTACAGCTTAGAGTTTCATTTTCAGTACCTTTCAGTACTTTCAGGTACCTTTCAGTACCTTTCATGACTATCCCAGGAATTTTTGTTTGAATAAAAAACCTTTTGGGATCATGACAAAAGTTCTCCATGGTAGAAGTAATGAAATCTTAGGTCCATAAAGCTTAATCCTTTTCAGTTTCCAAATATCAATATATTTATCAACAGAGCGGAATTATTCACTCTAAAATTCCATACTATTAAAAATCACACTGAAAGAACTTCTGATTAAAAACAAACAGGGAAAAGGAAAAAAAAGGAAAAACAAACAAACAGGAAAAATCAGCAAAGGCAGATTGGGTAGTACGTTAACTTTATTTTGAATTATAACATGGAATTTGTCATCAAACGAATGTAATGAAAAACTTTGGGGGTTCAATTAAGCAAACGATTTGCATAGGAATTGCTACTTCTAAGTTTTAAGATGCAGAGCACTGAATTGTGAATTAGATTAACATAAAGTAAGAATCATCTACCTGTGTGCAAAATAAATGCAATTTAACTTTATTAAAAAAAGTTAAAAAACGCAATTTAATTTTAAATAACAGAACTTTTGTTCAGTCTTTGGTGAGGGATTAATACAGGCTTCTTCCCTGCTATGGATAATATTGTCATCTCATCTCATTTAGACTAAATGTGATCCTTCTAAACTAGAGACCTCTTTCCTACAGTTAAGAAGGCCTCCTTTCAATATTGTTAAAGCTACTGAATTCATTCTTTATGCCCCTAATATTGGTCAAGAACATTATCCATTTTAAAGGATCTAACAAATAGGCCCAGGACAACATGCTCTAGTGAAAAACATCATTAAGTTTGTCATTTCATCCCATTTTGTCTTTTGGAACTTTGTTATCAGTACCCATTATACTGTTTTGATTTATATCAGTGATGAGCAACCTTTTTTTTTTTTTTTTTTTTGGTTGGGGAAAAAAATAAAGCACTTCAGGCCACATTATTTTCCTCTTCAAAATGAATATAGCTTTATGAAATTCCCACAAAAGAAGATGTATTTGTACAACTTCGTTGAATAAAAGAAAGCCAGCGCGGAGATGGGCACTGCTTTTTAACTACTAAAATGTTTATATCTGGATGTTTTAGCAATACAGACAGCTTTCTAATTTTTTAATCCAGAAATTAGATTGCAGGCTTGTTGCCTGGCTGGTCGGGTTGTAGGCCTCTCTGGGGGCCCTGTGGGTTGCTCATTACTGGCTTTGCTTGTGACATGGATTAAAATAAGCTGATCTTTGTTGACTGATTGTTTTACTGATCATAACAAACTTTAAGAGAATATCTTCTAATTTCAAAATTATAATTCATTTACTGAGATAAAGATAATACTTTTAGTATCACTATACATGTATGTGTGTGTGTATATATATATATATATATATATATATATATATATGGTTTAGAACATTTCCCTCCATCTTAACATAGAACATTGGCTGGAAACCAGAGCAGAACCAGAACATGAACAAGAAAACTAAAGATGTGTTTAAATAACAAAATGCCATCAGTGTTTATTATGGTAGATTATAGAAAGAAGGTTTAATTTTTGTGTGTGCAATTAGGCACTGACTGAGGCATTTAGACACCATTGATTATAAAGTGCATTGAGTATAAATTTTGACCCTCCTCAAAGGAATAATTCAACAAAACCCAGGTTTCTTTCTTGGAATCAATCAACCCAAAAACACGCATAGATGAACACTTATTAAATACTAGTAACAGTCTTTTATTACTTATACTTCTGAAATAGTAATAGCAACAAATTATATCACATTTTATCCAAGGACTCCAAAGTCATTGTATCAAGCAATTGGTGTTGGAAGCTCAAGATTCCACAGCATATTAAGTCTACTTAGTTACGGCACAGGAAATAGATTCCCAGCAATAGACCCAAAGTAATGGTTCAAAGAGACAAGCCTACATTTCCTGTGGTTTGTAATTTTCTGAATTTCCACATTTGCCACTTGTATCCTATCATATCTACATTGACTCCAGGTAAAAATGAACAATTTTTCTTTTTTTTATAGTTCAACAATCCATCTTTGAAAAGCACATGGTGGAATGTCAGAAGTGGCTTTTCAATAATATAACTTTATACTTTATTGATTCATAGAGAACATTTTACACTGGAATTACATACATATATATGTAAAATACGATGGAGCCATATCTTTGAGCACACATATGCTTAACACAAAAGCAAAAGTGCACCAATTCACTGAAGGTCAGACTTTCAGTCTTTTTAAAGGAACAAAGCTTTCTGCTTCCTTTCTGTTTCTATTTTTAAGACAGAGGGTTTAACTCTATCTTAGAGTTTAACTGAGAGACCCAAGTTGATGAAGTTTAAAATGAGTTTCTGTGGAATCCATGAACATGCCAGGCCCCCTGGAGTGGGGCTACAGGCCAGTGTGAGAAGCCCACTACATGAGAGGAAGGGGTCCCTGAGCTGCTCTGCTTTTGACTCAGGGCACAAAGCATAGCTCTTCTTGGTCAGGGACCCAGCATGGGCATTCTGGGTGTTTTCTTTCTTCTAGGAATTTCCAACACTATTTGAAAAGCAATTTCTTTTTGGACAATATGATTAAGGTTTCTATCTTTCAGTCGAATATGAAACTAAGTTAGCTCTTCCTGTGTCCTTCTTTACTTCGGAGGAGACGCAATATACGTTCATTTTTGGTTAGTTCTGCCGGAAGTTCATTGGCCTGAAAGAAGATAAGATAGGCATGAGTGAATTCCCACAGTTGGTGTGGTTTCAGGGACTCCAAAGAGGGGCCCCTGACCCACACTTGCTCCTCCACTGATGAAAAACCCCACTGGACTCAGTCTTTTGTATCAAGGCATTCTTTAAATGTATTTAAATATAAATATCACTGTTTACTTTCTTATCTCATTGTTAGTTATTTTTCTTTTTAAAATTTTTTGCAGTATAGTTGATTTACAATGTTGTGTTAGTTTCAGGGGTACAGCACAGTGATTCAGATACACACACACACACACACACACACACACACACAAACACATATACATATATTCCTTTTCATGTTCTTTTCCATTATGGTTTATTACAAGATATTGAATATGGTTCCCTGTGCTATACAGTAGGCTCTTATTGTTTATTTATTTTATATATGGTAGTTTATATCTGTTAATCCCAAACTCCTAATTTATCCTTCCCTCCCTTTCCCCTTTAGTAACCATAAGTTTGTTTTCTACGTGGGTGAGTCTGTTTCTGTTTTATTAATAAGTTCATTTGCATCATATTTCAGATTTGACCTATAAGTGATATCATATTTTAGAGTTATTTTTCTATCTAGCCATATCCCTTACTAGGCTATAATCTCCAGGAGGCCAGGGTCCATATCTTATTAATCACTGTATCCTCATTTCCAGCACAATGCCTATCTTATCTAGTATGTTGTCAATAAATAGATTTGATAACTTATTAGTTTATTATATAAGGCAGTCTGTCTGCTAGGGACTTGAGACTCATCTTTTGATGAGAAGGCAGAGTTAGGAAACATCCAGAGCATAAGACACATGAGGAAGGACAGCTTCAGTGGCCACAGAGACACATTCTGTAAGTGTTTACTTTGTGAGCGAGTCCCTATCTTAAGAAATAGACAGTATAGAGCAATGGTTCCCAAACTTTTTAGTCTCAAGACTTCTGTACACTCTTAAAAATTATTGAGGACCCCAAAGAGCTTTTGTTTTTAACTAATCAAAAATGAAAAAAATTAAGTATATTTATTGATTCATTAAAAATAATAAACCCATTACAGGTTAACATAAATAACATATTTATGAAAAAGAACTAAATTTTCAAAAACAGAAAAGTTAGAAGTGTAGCACTGTTAACAGTTTTGCATATTTCTTTACTGTGTAGCTTAAAAGAAGACAATTGGATTCTTACATCTGCTTCTGTATCCAATCGATTATCTTAAAGCTAAATTGCCATGTGGAATTTGAAACCACATTAATGAATTTTTCTACTCTGTTGCATTAAAATCCATAGGTCTATCTATCTGCAGGTGGATTTTTTACCTATGCATGTTTGTAACATCATGTACCGGCCATTTAGAAAATAGTAGCTCACTGAGTTATGCAGATCTTCCAAATGTGGACACATTTCATTATACAATCCTCAAAGCTCACATCATTCATTAATATAATCACTGATTCATCAGAAAAGCTACAGGTATCGGGAAGCTGTCAGGCTCATGTGATGGATACAAGTCTGTTCTTTCAAGTAAAAGTGGAGATCCCCCCAAAAAGCGGCTGGCTCCCTTTGCAATTCAAACAATTGCATAAGTGCTTTTCCTGAGACAGCCATGTGCTTCAGCCTACAGCAGAAGTGCTTGGTGCAAACTTCAAATTTTGTTACATAGTAAAAAGACATACAGCAAGGGTCAAGGTTTCATAAAATTAAAATTGTTTACTGCTTCATCAAAGACATTCTTAGGTAAAACTGGTCTTTTTATAAAATAATCTACAACGTGTAAAATAACTTAGAGGTTTCTACAATCATTTGCCACTACAGTTTGTGACCGTGCTTTGATGCGTGTTAAGGCGCCAACAGTTTCATCGGCCATTGCCTTTGTACCATTACGGCAAAGGTCAGCACAGCGAAAAAGGGCAAAGTGTCTCTGTATTATTAAGAATATTGTTTCGACCTATTAGAACCCTTGAAAGGGTTTTGAGGACACCCCAAGGGTCCACGGACCACACTTTGAGAACAGTTGTTACAGATGAATAAAAGGATGTTCTTGGGAATTCAGGGGAGAGTCAATTAAAGGGTAGAAAGGCAACCAAATCAGGGAGAGAACTTGGATGTAGTTGTTTTTTTCCCTGCAGTTAAACCTGGAACCCCGGCTGCTCTATCTGAAACCCCGATCTTAGGTGAAGCTCCTGCAATACCTACCTTCTAGGCTGGATCCTGCTCTCTGACCCTCACCTACTGGCTTGGACCTCACTTGCTGGGAATGATGGGTTTGCCACAGTGGTCTGCTGTGCAGCATGTCCTGCAGCTGCACTCCTGCCCACCCAAAGGACCCTTGATGCTGGTGCTGGACTGACTCTAACAAGAGGTGCTATTCGATGCTGCCTTAGACCAGAGACCCCTCTATGGGGTCAATTCTAGTATTAGCTTAGTTCCTGCAGGAGCAGATGTTGTGCAGGCCTAACGCCTGGGGCTGAGAATAATGCTCCTGGAGAATGGACCTGAGCACCATCCAGTCTCAGAGTACCCAGGAAGAACTAACTATTTTGCATCGGTTACTGGTCCTTGGTGACAGGCTGGCAGGTAGCCAGAGGATTCTCTTCAGTCAGGAAGATGAGTGGATCTAAGAAGCTGCACCTCTGTCTACAAGCTTGTTAAGTTACGGTGTGTGTGACCATCTCCATGCATGTCCATATCCATTACCGTTAAAATAGGCTTTATACTCTCAAACTGTGCTGCTTCAGTCAGTCACATCACTGTTCTGTGCGTCATCCATATAGTTTTAAAAACCTGGTCTCACTCCTCCTCTCTCAGGAGGGTCCCCACTGAATTCTTAAGTTGCTCAGGTTACGATGGCTAGCGCCCAGGCTAGCCCCTAAAGGCCATCTTATCCATTATGGAGCAGGACCATAGGTCCATACTCATGACCCACAGCATCACACCGCTCTCTGTCCCCGCTGCTCCTGGGAGAAGATGTGTTCTGAGTCCTCAGTTGGGGGTATCAGGAACATGGGATCCCCACATCCATGGGGATGGTTATGGTGTGGGGAGAGGTACTGGGCCATTGGTCACCCTCTCCTTTGGCATCTGCCCCAGAGCAGAAGTCCTGGAGCCCCTAGAGCAGAAGGGTGCTTCTGTACTAGCTGAAAAGCGACTCTCTCCAGGAAGCCTTCGATAGCATTCTTCACTGCCTGCTGACAGCCCTTGTCACTGTGTGTTGCAATTGCTTGTTTAATTATCTTTATTCCCCAGTAAACTCTGAGCCCCATGAAGACAGACACTATGTGAATCTCTTTCACTATTATCTCCCCATAGACAATGTTCACAGCACAGTGCATGGCATCTAGCAGGCACTCAATAAGTGTTTGTTGGATGAATGAATAAAGGTCAAGGATACCCCCTCAAGAGTCCTGAGTGGCTGCTGGAATCCCAACACCCTTGCTTCTGGAGCTGCCTCTGAAGAGTCTGGCTTCTACAGGCTGCCTGGCGTGCAGGCAGGCAGCTTCCTGGCAGCTACTCCCGGCTCTCCAAGGGCTTCTGCAGGATGAAACTCCAACACAGGCAGCTACACAGACACTCCAGAGACCAGCATTTTGGTCACTGGAAATTCCCCATAACCATTATTGCTGAGATTCCATGAGACACACAAGAAATTGCATCTTTCAGTTTCTATGTAAAGAAACTGCCTTAATTCAGTACTGGGTGGCTTAGCAATGAAGACTGATCTTTTTAGGACATCTGTGTCCAAGGTGCAAAGATAAGAGAGCAATTGTGATTTCAGTGGGCTCATCGCACAGCCAGACCAGCTAATGGAAAACAAACCCATGTATCTCAGGAAGAAATAAACAGAAATGTTGTCTTCAAGTAGTTCAATGGTAGGAACAGGGGAAGTAATAATTCCACATGCTAAGTGGAATGAGAAAAGTGGCTCTTGGCATGTTGTCTGATTGCACTTCTTAATAGTTTCTTTTAAAAATATCATGAAATGTTATATGATTTTGGTTTTATTATTAATAAAATCTAACACAGTAATAGATACTTATAAAAATTCAAACACTATCTAAGTATAAAGTGAAAGTTGTTTTTCATACCCTCCCCTGTTAATGAGTCCCCACCATACCTCCTCCTTCAAAAGTCAGTAGTTTCAGTGTGCTTCCTCTAGACCTTTCCTAGGCTACTCTCCCACCCCCAGTCTCTACTTGTGACTGCTTATGCAGATGTTGAGTAGGAGGAAATACAATGACAGTCATTTTTTACTGGGCACCCTCCCACCTCCAAGTTTGGCTTAATTGAAAACTAAGAAAATTTTTGAGCTATAAAAAAATATGGGTTGGTTTTGCTCAACTATGCTTTAATTAAAAAAAATATGGGTTGGTTTTGGAACTGTGGGGCAAAGTCCTGTTAACAATATAAAAAGCAACATCTTCCCCATGAGGTCACCAAATAGAGCACAGGCAATTCTCAAGGTACCAGTATCCAACTCACGAAGGATGGTGATTAAACTACAGGAACTTTGACATTTTTAGGACACTTCTCCGATGATAGAATACTTATAACCTTACTCCCCACAACCACTGCCCCCTACCCCCACCCCACTGTTACCTGAAAATCATTGATAATAGAGGGGTTTTAGTATAATCCTCTGGGTCCAAATGTACTGCTCACTCATAACCTATAATGACATTTTATGCCCTTACTATGCCCAAGGATGAGGAGCGACTGGAGCCAAGATGCTGTCTTGGCTTCAGCAGACGCCGCCTTATCTCTTTGCACAGGCGCCCGATGGAGGGAAAAGATGACTAAGACGGTACCTTGTTTCTTAGGGCTGGGTCTGCGCCTGCTTCCAGGAGCAGCGCAACTGCCTTAATATTTCCGCTGAGCACTGCCACGTGGAGTGCCGAGGTCCCATTCTAGGAGAAAAGGACAGTGTGTGTCAGGAGAGAGCTCACAGCCATCAGCACTCGGCCTGATGAGACTGTAATGCTAGAGCCTTGCTCATCCTTATCTTCCCTTTTCAAAGTCACATCGGCACCTAGTACAGTGTCCTCAGGGACACCGTGTACGGTCAGTATAAATATTGCCAATAACCTTTTGCAAGTGAAATAAGGCATCTGCCCAGCGTGTACATGACTTCATGTTCACTTGGTCTGTTGTAGAGGCACCAGAACTTGCTGTGGGAAAAACAACAATGCTACGTCAAACATTTTTTTTTCTTAAGGTCTTTGTGCTTTTGGTGAGCACACTTCTGCAAGGCTGGAGGAATAGCCTGCTCACCTATGGGCCGAGTTGTCAACCCAGCTGTATGCACTCCACACACGCAGGTGGGCGGGAGAGCGACTGGGAGCTACATGGCTTAAGAGTAAGAGTAGGTGCGTTGAGGACCACCCCCGACCCCAGCCCTGAGTTGGAGCATTTCTGGGTACTGAGGGGTCTAGTGGATAGGTTGCTGACATCTTATGGAATTTACTGCAAATATTTATTGACATAAGGAAGCAGCTATGCGCAGCCTGTAGCTGGATTCTGGGAGGGGAAAAGAGAATATAACAAACCCAATATAAGAACGATAGGCAGTCGCAAGACATCTGTTCTAGAAGGTACATATGTCTGGGAATAGTACCTAAATGCAAGCTTAGTTTTCAAATTAACTACGTCATATATATATGTAAAACACTTTCTGATCTTGTAGGCACGTTAAATATCACACCCAGAGAAAAAACTCCAGCAAAGTAGCCTTTTTCCCTGTTTGCCACACCATGTTTGCCATGTGCAGCAATACACTAATCTGGTAATATTTCACTTATCAAAATCTTAACCAACTTATCAGTGTTGCCAAAGTGCAGTGTGGCTAAGAAAAAAAACTAAGCCTAAAAAGAGTTGTCTGCAACACGACTAGATACTGCGAAGTCCATTTCTGAAGCTAGTTTCTTTTATTTATGGAGAATTCATTTTCACAGACTGTTTACTCTTACTTGCCAAACAATTTTTACAAGTACAAAGTACAGCTTTTTTGACTCGCAAGCTCATGGAAGATTAGAATTAGCTCACTGGGGCAAGAGAGAACGGCATACCAACAGCAGCTCCGTATCAGCTGACAGCAACAACGGAGCCTAAACCCATAAAGATCAGACAGAAGGCATCTAAAGGGCAGGTAGACTTCAGATACATCAATAAATGCAAAAAAGTGCCAAACTACTGGCCCAAGTTTAGAACAGGTTTGGTGTCCTCTATTTAACAAAACACTAGAGTGTATACCAGGAGTCAGCAAACTACAGCCCGCAGGACAAATCTAACTTCCCCCTCCCCCGCCCCGTCTGTTTTTCTACATCCTGATGAGCTCAGCATTTTAAAATTTAAAAAAGAAGACTATTTTGTGACACGTAAAAATATAAAAGTTTAGAAATACAACATCCATAAATAAAGTATGATTGGATGCAGGCACACTTTTTGCTGTTGCTGTATTTTCTATGGCTGTTTGCTTTCTACAATGGCTGAGTGGGGCGGTTCCAACACAGACTGTATGGCCCACAAAGACTAAAATATTTGTTACCTGGTCCTTTATTGAAAAAGACTGCCAACCTCTGGTAGATACTCTAGTTGAGGAATATTTTAATCCAAAATGATTACAACTTAAAAAAGGAGTTTTGGGGCTCTGTTTTCTGGAAGACGCAGCCCTCCAGAATGACACATTCTCTGACGTGTCCAGATGTTTGAGGCTTACTTCATTCCACCTAAGGAAACAATGTGGTTCTTTGCCCCAGATAATGAAGAGAAGGAATGTGAGTTCCTATCCCTCATGTTTTCTGGGACACAAATCATGTGTTTCATTTGTGGAGGATTTCACAAATCTTCCAATGATATATCAATATGGGTGATTGCCAATTTAGCAATTTCAGTACTATTGTTTAATTTTTTTTCCCCCTAGAAAACTAGGTACCTACAGACTCCGGTTCACTCTTTTTATTACCTTCCCATTTCTACCAGTGCCCGGGAATCTCTAACATGGATAAGTTGTAGGCATGTTCTCTCAGTAATACAACTAACCACGCAAATGGTACCCAGAGTCTACTGCAGTCCCCAGTGTGGACTTCTTAAATTTCTAACCTCTCTCTTTTACAGGTTGGTAAAATTTTCTCTGTAGGTCTTACCTTCAAAATACCGAGGGTGGGTGAGAATTTCAGCAACTCTTTTATAACATCATTATACCCTTTGTTGGCTGCTTTCAGTAATGCTGTTGTACCATCCTTTACAGAGAGAGGAAAAGAAAAGTTGATTATTAACATATGTGTGTGTTGGATAATAATGAAATGTTGGTTGAGAACTGGGAATGTGCTTGTCAGAAGGAGGCAAAATGTGTAAACTAAAGCAGAGGTCTGCAACATCTCTTAATCTAAAATCATTTTAGAGCATATTAAACAGTTAATTCTGAGTGAAAGAAAACCAGACAAAATATGTGACTTATTACATTATCTTCAAACCCTGCCATCTGGGAATTCATGGTCTTCTAGTTCCTTAGAATACTGGGTACAGGAACAAGGGGAATTTCAGGAGGATATTTTTAGAACATAGATGGACTAAAGAGGCATTCTCTGCAGTTCATGACTTAGAAATTAATTGTTGAACTGTTTTTTTGTTTTTTGTTTTTTAAGTTTTTTTCACTGTGTGGCTCTTGGGATCTTAGTTTCCTGTCAAGGATTGAACCTGTGCCCTCGGCAGTAAAAGTGTGGAGTCCTAACCACTGGACCGCCAGAGAATTCCCAGTTGAACTGTTTTTAATGATTTAAATAATTGTTGAACTGTATCTACTGTTTTAAAATTTAAAATTTCTTTTCTTTTTGCCTTCCCATGTATACAGCCTTGCTCTAGTCTGTCCTGGGTACCTTCCTGCCTGTGGTAGTGGTGATGGGCGGAGAGTAAGAAGGGGATAGATTGAAATCTGTTAAAAAAAGAATGCAAAGACAAGTTCAAAAATTAATATTAAGCTCTGTCATCCTTTTCTGGCCTGAGAAGAGATTTTCCAATTCCCCCTTCCTCCTACTTTCACGCATCAATTTCTGTATTTGGAGGATTTTGCTCACTGAGTTCTCCTGTAGCAAAGGAAACACCCCAGGCTGCTCTAAAGGTTTAGCTGGAATCAGGAGGAAGATGAGAATAGAGGATTTTTCCTTTCTGACTTCAGAGGTTGTGGGAAGGAAAAAAGAGAGAGCGGGAGAGAGGACAGAGAAGTGGTCAGGAATGTGTCTTTTGGTTTCCCCCTTTGTGGGCTCAGACTTGGGAGAGTGGAGGTGGGTCACACAGGCAAGGTAATATTAAGGGCAAAAAGGCCAGATACTGTAAAAAAAAAAAAAAAAAAAATGAAGTGACCCCAACAGAGGCTAAGTGGAGACCGATGGGGGATGTGGTGCGGGGGTCTGCAGCTCGGGGAGCCGGGGCACCGAGGACCCCAAACCACAGACCCCGCGAGCCAGCTGCACTGTGGCCTGGAGGCCAACAGGAGGCGCAGCGCCAGGCAGACCAGCAGCCGCTGGGGGACACATCCCCAAGGGCAGCCGAGGCCTGAGTCTCCTACCTGGTCCTCCCGGGTCATCCAGAGGTCAGCCCAGGTGGAGGAGGAGCTCAAGGAATTCAATATTTCCCCCTTAGAGGGACTGAGCAGCAGTTGCTAGGTTTCAACTGATTCAGACCTTTCCCTTGTTTTCCTGCT